TATATATATATATATATATATATATATATATATATTAATTACCATTTTTCTCATTATTTTCTCACACTCTAAATTTAAGAAATTTGAACTAATATTGACAAATAAACAGTGAAAAGTTGATAGAAATTTATGCAAAAACATACAAATGTAATTTTATTTATTTATTATGATTATTATTATTATTTATTTATTTATTATTAGTAGTAGTATTAATTTGCAGGGAAAAGGATAGAAACTGAATTTATTAATATTTTTATTGGACGTGTTATATATTTCATTAATGAAATTGGACCTTCTATAAAAAGTACTAGAGATACTATATATCATTGATACTTTGATGTTTTATTTGTTTATAAAAGAATTGTACATGTTTAAAATTAAAAAGCTTGAGATATTTTTAATTACCCTAATTCTTTTTTACCTTAATTTTTTCTTTTATTTTCTACCTTTTTTTCTAACATAAATAACAAAAAGATTGAATTTATTAATAACTTAAATTCAATCATTTTTTATGAAATTATAATTACCATAAATTGTGTTTAGTACAATTATTTTTAAGTATTAATAATTATGATAATATATATAATATTGTTACAATTAGTATTAGTAATCATTAATAATTTATATTAATTAAAATTAATTAGTACCTATATATATTAGTCATTATATTAATAAAAAATCAAAAGATTAAATTTGATTAAAAAACCATTTATAAAAATAAGGCTAAAAACCTATTTTGGTCCCTTATAATCTTTTTTTGTTTCAATTTAGTCCCTCATTAATTTTTTGTCTCAATTTGGTCTCAAACTAATTAATTGGTTTCAATTTAGTCCCAAATTAATTAATTGGTTTCAATGTGGGACTTTCCGTCCAAATTACTTTAACGGTGTTAACTTTTGGCCACGTGGACGCCACGTAGATGCATACGTGGATGCCACGTGGATGAGAATTTTTTTGAAAACACCTGGACCCAGAACGGCCCGTTCTGAAACCGGAACGGGCCGTTCTGCGTGCACTTTTGGTGTATTAATTTTGCATCCGGAACGGCTCGTTCCAGGTGTAAAATTAACACACTGAAAATGTAACCAGAACGTCCCGTTCCGGTTTCAGAACGGGCCGTTCCGGTTTTTTTTTATATATAAAATATTAATAATTTTATAAAATATATATTATTAATTATATTTTAATTATGTTATTATATCTAATAAAATAAATATATTAATATTTTTTTATATTTTATTTTAATATATTTATCTTATTAATTTTTATCATTTTATTCTTTTAATCTTAAATAAGTTGCAAGAAATTATAAAGTGATATTTAAATATTTCTTCAAACAAAAAGAGAAAAAGAAAAAATTATTACTTTATTTATAAGACAATTATATTTTATAAAAATAAGTAATTTTAAAATT